AAAACGTCCGTGAGCTGAGTGATGCTGTCTTTGAATAACTGCCACTCCTGCTTTACGGTGTGGAAGCCATCTGTTGTTCACTGGATTGCCTCTGCTGCTTGTATGAGCGCCGGGACATCCAGCTTCCTATTGTCCCTCCTGAGCTTGTGTGGAACCGGGGGAGGGTTTTCCCTGATGTGAAACCTAAGTACTCCATGGTCAATTCGTCCTAGAGGCGCAGAAACCCCGAGCTGTCCAACATCCTGCGGCATCTTGGACAGAACTAGTTTCAACATGCTAGGCCTTTGCCGGTAGTGGTGTGGCATCCTAACTATTAGGATTTCTAAAAACCACCTATTTTGAAATGTATTTTAGAAAAAGTGATGTCAAATTCAGCCGAAACGGAACAGATTTTGCAATCGTCTGATTCTGAGTAATTTGGTAAAACTTCATTTGTTTTAATCAACCTTATTTAGTTTGTACGAAAAGTTTAAATACCACAACTTAATAGCAACGATCACTTCCACGCTCATATCAACCATGGCTCATGTTGACGACACGGTCGTTTTGGAACGGATGGTAAAAAATTGCTATGGATCGCTGGATGGATTCTTGGAGGGCTTCCGTGAATTCCAAAGGGTTGCTTGCATTTCCTTCTACGTTTATGCGTCAATCACAGCCGAACAACTGATATGGGAAAGTTTGAACGGAAACTGACTCTGATTAAGGGTTTTCCTTACTATTTCATCAAATATTGCTGTGTACATCATCAAAGGCGCGGCGCAACTGCAACCAGGTCATTATTCCTCTCATTTATAATGTGTTTAACTCATTTTAGGCTGCGAAATACCGATTGTCCAGAATTCATTGGAATTTGCGCGGTCGGGAGGGAGTACCCAGTGTTGAAACGTTGTCTGGTGCACAACCATGACTTACATGTGGTTCAGCGGGGTCTGTATACAAGTAATCGTCGTCTATTTAGAAAACAGGAAGAGGAAGTGTGTACTTTGATGGACAATTTTAGAAGTACTCGCGAGCTAAGGGATTTCGCCACCCACAGGTTCCAGAGACCCTTAACTACGACGGATATTAGATCCATACGTCGAACAAGGCCTCAGTCGATTCACGTGGCGATGCGGTGAACGTTGGGGATATGCTGGAGATTCAGGGAGAGGTTAGGATAGGGCTGAACGAAGGCGTCGTTAGTCACATTGATTTTTGTTTCTAAGATTATGTTGAACTGCGTCGCCAGGTTTAATGGTGCTTTGTTAGCGGACGCCACACATCAGCTAAACTGTGGCAGGTACGTGCTTTGGTATGCTATGCTTGCAGACGACACCGGTTTAGGTAGAAATTTCTTCTACGCTATCTTGCCGAATGAGAGTGGTGAGAGCTATAGATCTACTGTGAGAGCCATGAAATCTATGTGCCCAGTCTTTGCACAATGCAAGACTATGGTAGTTAATCGTAGCTCAGTACAACGGGTTTTCAGAATACTTTCCGTCCTCTAGTATGGTATTTTGTCGTTTCCATCCCGTTAAGGATATGAAAAGGAAATGTAACCAGCTATCTGGTATGCCAACGTTCGAAAAGCAGCACATCTTTCAATAGATACGGAAGATGGTGTACTGTGATAGTGAGGTATCGTTTAGTAGGTTCTTGGTCGCCGCAGGAAGTCCTAGCACAGAAGCAGGTGTTCATTTACGCCGAAGTTGGTTAGCATACCATGAGCAATGGGTAAGGTTCATCGTAAGGACTATATTGACTTTAGTAAACCTAACTACCAACCGAGTGGAGACGGAAAATAGTCACCTCAACATGGGTTTGTCTCCTCTATTTTCATTGGTGGATGTATTTAAGAAATTGCTACAACAGGTAAGGTCACTGGAAGTGACACATGGAATTCGCCTTGCTAAAGATTCCACGAAGGAGTATCCGACCCTCAGCGGCATGCAGTCGTTTAAACCGTTGCTTATACGAGTAACACCATTTGCACGGAATATATTATAAGTAACTGGAAGTCATGTAAGATTGAACGAATTGTTCACGAGAGAAAGTTCTTCGTGGTAGTAGATATTAAGGGCAAGGGTTTTAAGGTAGTAACTGCAGGGGAAACGAAGTGTGAGTGTTATTTCTATGCACACTGGTTGTTGCCGTGTTTGCATATAGCCAGGGTATTCAATCTGATTAATAGGGATATTCAAAGTCTTATTGCAGATAGGTAGATTATAAACCGCAGCGTAAAGCATTGAGTTCCAAACTCCACTCTGGCAATAGCGGCCTCAACAAACGTCATGGGTAAGCCATCAAAGTTAACTGAAACAGAGGATGTCCTTCAAGAGCTGGGCGTCTCTTTGAATAGTTTAGGTACGGTGAATTACAATTTTCAATGCAATCAACTTCAACGTGTAGCAGCTATGATAGGCAAGTAGCCGGACATCTAGATATTATATGTTAAACAGAGCTTCGCAGCACAGTCTACGGAGATTAAGTGTACCAACTGGACGCTAAAGGCAGAAGGCAAACCAATCCGGCATTACCAATGAAGGTCAACTATTGAAGTGGTGGCAAATCTGTGTGGAATGCGGTCGATTTGGACCATGAGCAACAATGGATCTAGTGCCAGAAATGCGGGCGACGAACATACAGCAGTTGCGCTGCTGACGGTGGAGAAGAAGCATACGTTTGTGTGCATTGCCTTAGTCGATGAGCGTGGACGTAAAACACCCAAAGTGACTGAAAACGGCTCTTTTAGGGCCACGCCAATTTGATTTATTTGTCTTTGAGCTATGGATTCTGTTCCGGGACCAAGATGTTGGTATAGATTCCACTTGAGATTGGATTTTGTGGGGGCATTATCTGCTTCGTTGTCGAGCCTATTCCAAGGTGGAATGACCCCGAGGGTGGTGTTACGGCGGCTGAAACACCGTAAAGGATGATGAAACCAACATTTTGACGATGGATAG